TTTTTAAGTGGGAGAACTTGCACAATTGGTGGCTGACTAAATACTTTTTTTGCCCCACTGTAGGTTGGGTGCAAAGACAAAGTTGCTGTAAGAAAATACTTTTTTCACTGATCCCTGGTTTTGGAGTGGATGCCCAGCTATTCCGGGAAACCAAAAGGAAGCATTTACTCTTGTTGCTACGCAGGTTTATGATAGGCTGGCTGAAAAACCTGTGTTGGTTCCTACGTGGCAGAGAGTCAGTTGAGAACCTATGATGGCCTGAATTGATCAACTGGGAGGTGATAGATGATGTAGGCAGCATGCATCGAGCCCTGTGATGTAGATTAATTGGATAGGCATGTTGTTCTGTGGTTAAAAATCCAAAATTCACAGCTAGGTAATTAACAAGACAATGTCCACGATGAGAATTCAGCAGAATTCGCCTGGAGAATCTGTCTGAAGGTGGAGACTGCAGACTGAATAGATAGTCACCTACAGGTAGTCCAGCTGTAAGACTGAATGACTCATTCTGGGAAGAAGCACCTCTAGTTGATCGTTCAGGGATCCTTTTCTGTTCTTGCAGAATACAAAAGTAAAGAAAAATATGACAGCCTTTACTGAGAAAGAGGGAGATTAATTTTAGGTTCCCCCAAATAAATCTGTGCCAAATTGTGTAATAATAATTAGAGCCCAGAACGCTCAGTTTGTAAAGGTGCTCTAATCACATACTTCTGAACATGGAGATGGATTTCAGTCTCAGCGGTTTAAATTTGTTAAGTTTTTCTTTTTCTTCCTTCCTGCTAGTGCTGAAGGAAGCCACACTTCTGGGCAGAGCAACGGCAGAGACCATCAAGCCCTCGCGAAAGCTGTTCAGGTCCACCAGGACACATTGCGCACCATGTACTTTGCTTGATGTGGCCGTGATTTGAGGAACTCAGTTCTGAGTTGGATTCACAGGAGACCAGCTGCACTTAGACCAACAGTTGCCCAAGCTATAGCGACAGCCAGCAAGGAGTGATGCATCTTTATTTTTAATTCGGGGGGGGGGGGATGATGGTAATGATGATGATTGTGATTCTGTTTGCAAGAACGCCTTTCATCCAGAATTTCAGACTTGAGTGTGAACTGCAGACCTTTACAAAATTGCACAGCTTTTAGATGTGTGGATTTGCCAAAATCAAAAGCTGCTTGTCAGGAGAAAAGGAAAAAAAAAAAAAATGAAAACCCACGTTTTCTAACTAACTTAGAGCTGTGATCTCAGGGCTAAAAACAACACTTCTCGTTTTAGTTATGACTTTTTCAGATACACTTCTTTGTAAAAATCTGAAAAATATCCAATTAAGATCAGATTGAGCGGGCCTGGGAAAAACGATGAATTTGCTTTTATTCCTTAAAAAAAACAAAGCGCTAGTTTTGATGCCATTGAAGTCTTTGATCCTTCTGGATGCATTTGTAAAATGTTTTTGTACTGATGTGCAACAGGAGTGAGCGAATCCGGGTTTGTCCTTTGCTGTCTTATTGATAAGAAGTCTGTGAAGGTCTATGGGCAAAAATGTATTTTTGAAGTTCGTTCTTGAATGTCTTTCATTGTGCTGTTTAAATTTTTTGTAGGGTGCGTTATGGAATTATTTCAGTTACAAAAAGAAGTTTATCTATACTTTTTATTAGGTCCACTGAAAGATTAGTGAAGTGTGCCACTTTTTAAAAGAAGTTTATTTTTTCTTAAAATAATCCATTTTGATTACTAATCATGGAGTTTGTCCTATAGGACTGTGACACTTAATTTTCCAAAGCTTTTCTAAAGAATACGGGTCTGTGGTGATACAGTACAATCTCTTTCACTGTTATGTTTGAATTAATGTAAAATTTATATATGTTTCACAGTATTAACATGATAGCATAGATACTATTTATATTTATTTACTAAAGAGTGCTCAACATAGTTCTGTTTAACATATCACAAACTGAAGAATGCTTTGGAGTTTTAAAGTGGGAAGCTTATATGTGGACAAGAGTGATTTGGGTCGAATTCACCAACTGTAGCTTCTTGCAGGTTCCCTGTTCATTTTAACGAGGCTTGTGTGGGACACCTCATCCCGGCCTCCTTGAAATGAAGCAAGGAGGACCGGCCCTGGTGTGTTGTCCCTTTAAAGAACAGGGATATGCAACTACCTTGTATGGCAGAGGGGAGACGTGCTTGGCGTTTATATCATTTTTTAAAGCTAGTGTCTTGGAAGGATTTAGAAGAATTCACAGGCTGTAGTTTAGACAAGAGCATCAAAGGAAGTTTCGTAGTTCATTCAAGCACATAAATTATTTTTTTCTGTTGGATCATCTGAGTTACAGAAATGGAAGGAAAGAGATCTGTGTTTATTTGGGGAGGGAAGTGATGGCGTAATACGTAATGTGGACAAAATGTGTTAAGTGGGAAGGGCGTTTTCTTTGGAGAAGGTGAACCCCTCAGAGGCCTGCTAAAAATAAAAGCTTCTCTTACTGTGCGCAAGATTCATCCGACCAAATATTCAAAGCTACCGTTGCACTAATGAGGACAACAGGAACACTACTAAAATACTGTGGATTGGGAAGCCTTCTTCCTCTTCCGATCTTCTAGGAATTAAAAAAAAAAAAATACTAACCGCATCCAGGCACGATTAAGTAATTTTAAAAAAACTTTCTG